AAGGAAGGTTAAAAGGAAAAGGAATAGCCAAATTAGCATATTCCAGAATGAATTAAGTAACTTTCTTTCTGTTCCTCTGAAATGAACAGAGATTATACCGGAGGAGGATTTGCCGAGTTGCCTTGGCGAGTTTCATACACGATTAGTGAGGAACTTGGAATGGGCCTTGGAATTTGATTAGGATCAATCTTTGATGGCCCTGACAGAGGCGCTCCAGCTTGGCCCATGGCAGGTGGAATGGTAGTCATAGCTTGATTTGGTAATTGTTGTGGCATTCCAAACATTCTTGGAGGTTGTGCATGTGTAGTGCCAGGAATAAGAGGAGGTTGGGTTCCCTAAAGCAATTCAAAACATTCAGAATCCAAGTCACAGATGAAAGCAAGACACAAACACCACTTAAACCAAACCACACAATCCTGTACTTAGAATTTTCAGCACCTCATAAACACCACCTTAAAATGGTTTCCAGTTCTACCACGATTTTACAAACCTGACTCAGAGGCTTTAAAATATCCATCTAGACCATATGTCATATGCCAAATGATCAAATTCAACCTAATTAAAGTTCAATAACCAACTTCTAATTGATTTTGCTCCTATGCAAATTGTGATCAGTATAGACAGTAACAGAATTATCAAATTTTGCACTGCTCTATAAGTTTCTGGACAGTTTAACTTTTACCAATCAACTATTAGATTATGCATGCCAAGGATATCAATTCTCAAGCCAATGCAATATTTATGATGCTTCAATGACAAAAGTATCTTTAATTGCTACTATTGAATGATTGAAATGTTGAAAATAACAACTATACATATTCAATCAACCAGAAACTTGGCATGCATGTTGGCGTTGATAGAATAATTAATCCAACAGCTGACTTAATGAAATATGAAATGTACAAAAAAGACACAGTGGGGCATTAAAAAGAATCAAGCCCTAAACCATTGATGCAGGCACAGATACACACAAAAAAGATCTAAATTTTGTTTCAAACTAACATAATAAATGGTTAAATGGGTATCAGCTGATGCCTGACACAGTTATAGCCACGCAATAGGGGCAATCAAGTAAGGATGGGGTGGTAAAAGTGATTGCATTTTGGGGACTGGATAGGTCAAATCAATGGTAGCACTTTGGATGCCACATTACAGGGCGTATCCATTTCTCCCAGAAAACCAAATTGATGGGAATGAAAGATGCTTCTTTTTAATAACACAGTAAAGTAGATGTTTTTTATCTTTCAAATGTGAAGTACCAAACAACCAATTTTCTTAAGCCCATATGACCAGTAAAACAATTGATATCTTCAGAAAAGAAGAGATGGCTGTGTTACCAATGGATCCAAGTGAAAATTTAGGCTCCATTTAGTCAGTGCTTTTGCTTTTCTTTTTGCTTTTACTTTTTCCAATAGAAAGTGAAAAGCAAAAAATAAAAAATGAAGTGAAAACAAGAGCCAAATAGCAAAAAGCAAAAGCATCAAGCAAATGGAGTCTTAATTATACAACCTAAAAGTCTTGCATTAATAAGCCAAACATGCCAACTTGTTATTTTCCATTCAATAAATCATATGAAGGCCAAGGGGTTCACATCCTTAACATTAGAAAGAAAAAATCTGAGCAACATAGCCATAAACTGTAAAGCAATTTTCAAGGCATAAATGAGTTAATTATAAAACAGCAAAGCACATTCTTCCCATTACAGGTTTACTAAAATCTTTTTTATTTCTCAATTCCTTTAGGATTTCTCTGAATTAATGATGAATGCAATGGAAGGGAAGAGAACAAAGGACAAAGGGAACCCTATATTTGAAAAACAATTTAATAGAGGGTTAACAATTTGAAGGGATATGTATGCCCTTCAAACCCTATTTTTCTTAAATGTTAAACCCTTCAAATTAGGAGGATTGGGAGGGGAAGAATCCTCAATGAACGTTTTTTTTTTATAATAGTAACAAAAATTAACATTTGTTTTAACTTACATGTTAATTTTACAAAAATAGAATATTTTCCTTTTCTGCTCTTTAACCAAATAAAATTTGTAACATAGCCTTTATTTCCTTTCCCTCTTTCTTGTTAAGCAATCCAAACAAGCAAAATTATTTCCGTCATTTCCTTCTTCCCCTCTCCCTCGATTTCCTCTCCTTTCCTCCCCCTCTTATATCCCATACACTCTATTAATACATTTTGTTACTTACATGACAAGTCAAACACATACTATCTTGACACCAGCATTAGATGGTTTTCAGCTTACAATTTGGGGAAATGAGGAATAAAACCTACCTCTTTGAGCTAGAAGATATATGCACCAACCATCAACCAAACATTCGGGTCATTAGAAGCAATTAAAGGTAAATACTAAAGTACAGAGCTTAGATTTCTGAACTGATCATTCACAGTTACTAAATAATGCCAAAATTTTCATATCAACATCAAACAGGTGCACATAAAAGTTGCCATTACTAAATTGCATAAACCAAAGGAAGACTATCAAAGACTTCCGTGCCTAATGCAAGTTGCTAAAAGATCAGCTCAGCAACAACATAATCAATGATAAATTTCAATTGATAATACTTAGTTGGAAGAATCTTGAAAGCATAATATCATAAAGTTAGGAGCACTAACCTGCTGGGTTTGCATCGGCCATGTCTGTGGTCCATAAGGAAAACTTGGAGGTGGTGCTCTAGGCACAGCTGAAAACGGTGATGCCGAAGGCAACGGAGGAGCTGGTGGGGAACTAACAGCCAAACTTCCCAAAACAGAACGTGTGGTTGGAGCCTGAGCAGGAGCCCTAGCAGACATAGTTGGTGGAGGTCCAACAGGAGGTTGTGAAACACTTGCAGCAGAAGGAAATCGGGGTGGACCAGGCAAAACTCCTGAACCAATTAATGATGGCCCATTAGTCAAAGGACCACCAGGTGCACTTGACGGGGGCACAGCAGAACCAGCAGTCAAAGGTGAAGATGACGCATAAAGACTCGGGCGAGCACCTACAGGTGGTGGTGCAACTGCGACGCTGGGTACACCTGAAGATGGGAATGCACTAGAAGGTAGAACCACACCACCTGTAGAAGAAGACAACGAAGCAGGAGGAGGTCTAGACCCAAAAGGAGATAAGTGACCAACAGGCGGACCAATGGGTCTCCCAGGAGGTACATTTGCAGGTAACGTAGATTGCGGTGGTCCAGTAGGAGGCACTGCGGGTCTTCCCACCATACCAGGGGGTAGGCCGGGCCCTGACATTGGCAGAGAGGCGGGGAAGCCAGCAGAGACTGCGGATTGAGGGAAAGGTGGATGTTGACCAAAAGGGGAAGGCCTAGGACCAAAATCGGGCATTGAAAGTGGCCGATTTAGGTTCAAATTCTGCACGTTATCGGCTAAGGAATTGGGATTGGTTTGATAATTAGGATGAAAATTAGGTGGTGGCAGCTGTTGTGCACTGGCGCCGGGTCTAGGTGCCCCTGGAGGCACAGGAGCTGCCATAATTTAACCAAAACAAATTCCAATCCCCTCTTTCAATATCTTTTTTCTCTATATATTTTACAACAACACGATCAAAATCTACACAAACCCAAAAAACAATATCAAAAAAAAATCTTCAATAATTCTAAAAAATCTACAGTAATGATGATCCCAAATTAACATTTAAAAAAAAACTAAGATCGAATGAAACAACATAGAATGAAATCCAATTTCGAAGTAAATTAAGTACCTGAGATCGGAAAGAAAAGAAAGATCGGATCTGTTGAAATAAGGAGATAATTAAGTTCAGATCTGAAGGATCGTGACCAGGAGTAGGGTTTTAGAAAGAGAGATCAAGAATTAGAGTTTTTTTAGGGAATAGATCGGACATTGAAATTGGCGGAAAGGATCAGAGAAGGAAAAAGAGAGAAAGCAGGGGCAGGTGTTTAAGGAAACTAAAATTGTATAAATCTGAACTGTTAAAAAGAAAAAGGCTTTAAGGAAAGTTTTTGCTTTCTGGACATTGCGACAACAAACCCGGCTACTTCCAAGCTGTCAAATGTGAATACGACTTTGTTTTATACCCTTTTTTTTTTTTTAATTTCACTCTATCTATGATAGAGTTACAGCCGTTAATTTATTGCTTTTTCTTTTTATTCTTTGATTTTTTGTTTTTTTTTTTTTTTTCTTTTTCACTAAGAATTGTGATGATAAATATAGAAATTATATTAAAATTAGTAAACCTTTTGTCAGTGAATGGACTATCCGAGCATATATTTGTTGAAGGGTTATGTTTTTCGGCAGTGTGCTAGACAAATTTATATTCATATATATTTATTTTATATCAAATATATACAAAACATAAAAGTTATCATATCATAATTTATATGAATATATTAAACACAAAACACATATTATAATTTTTGTCAAAATTATATATTTTTTATTAAAATTTTAAATAATATTTTTTTATGTTTTTTTTAAATTTATATCATTATATTTAAAATTATCAAATCTACTTACAACACTACATATGTCAATTTAAAATGGCATATAAATTCAGGTTGAAGATTCTTGTGGTAAGAAATCATTCCAATAAAATCTTAACTACAAAAATTTTGGGTATCAGAATGGATGTAATGTAAGCAATCATCTGAAAGAAGCAATCTGAAAAAAGTATATCCCTCCAGAGAACCACGGTGACAGGCTAAAGACTAGAGGACTACGCTTAAGGAAGAAAAACTCAAGCTAGGGAATGAAAATGAATGGAAATATCTTTCATTGTTACTTTCACAAGAATTTATGTTATTATGTGATGAATCTTGGCAGTTTTGAGGAGGGATGAATAGGGGTGTTTCCAGCATTTTCGTCTTTGCATCAAAGGGACATGAAAATAAACCTGTTAAAGAAAAAATTTGCCAGCTCGTGGGAATGGGATGAACAACATGCAATGCAAAGCAAAGGCAGCCCAAAACCAAAAATAATGGTGATTACAATACCGACAGCCGTAAACCTTTATGTTTGTGGTTGTATACACCTGCCTGAACTTTCCCCTTGTCACTATCTTGGTTGAAGTTCAAGTAGTTGCATTCATCAATAATCATAAGTAATTACTTAATTACCAAATAATTATTGATAGAAAAGAAACAACAACTCAAATATGAAGCAATCATACATTTCCTAACTGCAAAACAAAGTTCACAGAGAAGATACTCTCAACAACCCAAGCTTAAATTCCTTACATGCAAATGAAGATTTAAAATCAGGTACCATACAAAGCTACACACAACCCAAGCTATTGATTCCTGACATGTAAAAAAGATCTTAGCAGACCTATATATGCATATTATAAGAGGAAAGAAGGAAAAACAAAAAATAAAACCAAAAACAAAAACAAAAGATGTGGATTTCATTGAGTAATATACAACAAACTATACTGTATGGACTCCTATGTAATTGTCAGCTCACCAGCAACTGAAACTTAAAACCCCAAGGAAAGTCATACCAGTTTCCAAACTGTCAGTACTTCTTGAAACATCTCCAGCATCAGTTCTCTGTCTGCCATCCTGAAAAAGTTATTGATTTCGTCTCTAACATCATATATCTTGCCAAAATCAAACAAGTACATCATGCACCCTTTCTTCAGCTTGTTCAATTGGTAAAGCCAAGCCTCCTGCAACCTCTCAAGCACATTCTGTGAGTTGATGTCTTCTAAGAGGCTTTCCTCGCAAGCATCTCTTAGATCTACAATGTCATATTTATTTGCCGCTCCCAGTAATGCCAGTCGATGCTTCCCAAAGTCCTCTTGTTTTATTATTCCATACAAGTAACTTAGAAGGGCCATGCAAGATTCCAGCAACATGTCCTCTATAAGGATTGTGGATGATGCCTTTTCCTTAAGGTTGTGATGGAACATGCTCTCAAAAACGGGTAAACTAGCAGATAGAACCGCCTTGTGAGCACTTACAGTACCTTCAGCAGTCTTGATGGTAACATCTGCAAGAATACCCTCATCAAGCATGCTAGCAAGGCAGCACAGGGTGCTTTGAGTTGATACAGACTGCATTGCTCCACCAGTAGGCCATATGGAAATGAATTCACCACCCTGGATTTTAACAAGAAAAGGGTAAAGAAAAGAAGAAATCTGCTGACATACAATAAGGGCTTGCTTCACAGTGATTGGCATATAACAAGAAAAAGAAAAATCTCGCTAAGCATATTACTTGTTATATATTACCTGGTTTTAGGGGAAAGGAGGGGACCTTCACTAGGATAGAACTCCATAATGAGGTTATGAAGGATTCGAGTAGTACGGGATAAGCTAATTACCATACTGCTCTAAAATAGGTTAATTGCCACCTGCCAGCTACAAGAACAAGTAAGTCACATTTTGAGAGCATTCCTTGCTGTAATAGGGGGCGCAGAGTTTCTAAGTGAATACAAGTGCAGGGAAGGGGGTTAGTAGTCATCATAACACTGTAAATAACAGTAGAATTGATTGAGTCCTTTAAACAATGTTCTCTATTGCCTTGTTTAACTAAAAGGTACACAAGAAAGGCGGGAAGAAAGAAACAGGTATATGTAAATTTGTCAACAACCCTATTCTATTTAAGTTTAGGTCCAGGTACCTCCTCTTTGGGGGAGTGATGTGGCTCAAGGGGAGACAGAGGGATAGGAAGAAGTAGAATACATTTAGCAACATTGCCATTATACCACATTAAAATGATAATCTAAAGGAGCTCACATTTATGGGGCTGATCCTCAGCTCCAGGAACTCAACATCAATAATGAAGCGCCCATGGAATATAGAATCAACAGGCCAAACAAAGTCATCACATGTTTGCAGTGGTCTATCATGAACTGCAGCACCAAGTAAACAAATTAGGGTCAAGGGCATCTTCTCAAAGCTGCTTAACAGATTAATTATGCATAAAAGAAAGTTGAGAAAGCAATTCAAGGTCCCTTGGTTTTACTCAGGATAAAGTAAGTTAAGAAGGCCGTAGAAAAGTTTAAGAGTTCAAAGGAACGATCATAATTACTCATTTCAAAGTAAATTAACATGGATTACTCACTGCGAAGTAAATTAACATGATTTCCTCTTTCTTGACAAAATACGAGCACAATTAGATTTATCTCAGCATATGGGCTCAATATGAAAAGTTTCTTTCTCGTCACACCAAATCATAATAGATAGATCCAAAATTTCCTGTTTCCATTCTTGCATCAGCATGATATAAACAAAGTAAGCACCAACTGTCACTTATCAAACACTTCTTCCTTTTCCCATTTTCTCGTCCAAAAAAATAAAAACACTTTGCAATCAAAGGTGAAGTTGAGTGGTTTTGTACCCATGTTTTCATTCGCAACCGAAAATAAACACTGCCCATAATCATGAATCACGATCTAGTTTCAAATATCATTTCTATGCTAATAATTCTATCTCAAAGAACACCAACAGGCAGACACACATAGCCACAGTAAAGTCATATTTTTTTAGATAATAGAACTACAACTCGAAATCCCAAACTTGCTTTTCACTTTCACATGTTAAATTACTTCCACTACCATAATTCAAATATAAAAGTTGGATACTGTTTCCTATTAGGAAAGCTTTTGGATAATTGATCATTCAATTGTCTTTCTTACAGAGAGAGTGATTACATGCGACACTCTTTAATCCATCTTCAGCTTGCACCTTTCTTCTAAACAAGAATCCCCATTTAAAAGCCATTAATCATTTCATCCAGCTTAGACATGAGCTATAATTTAAATGGTATAAAGGTTTGTGCTTTCCTATCAATATAAACCTTTAGATAACTGGTTACCAATTGTCTCTCTTATCATATACAAAACATTAAAGAACATTAACATGAAAAAAAAAATTCAAAAACCTATGCTTAGAACAACAACATAAGCCAAATAAACAAAAGCAGGAGATAAAAAAAAAAAAAAAAAAAAAGGGAGAGAGAGGAGAGAGAGAGAAAAGGCATACCTGGGGAGATATAAAGTCTACGATTAGCACCAGCATTTGAGACCCGAAGTATAAATTTAGCGAAAGGAGGCTGCTCTTTAGACACCCGAGATGGTTCAGGAAATAAACGAATATACAAATACCGATTCTTCTCTATAGACAAGTGCCTGTTTCATAAAATGCCACCAACCCCCCTAAGAATCAGTCAAAATTACCAAGAAAGAAACAAGAACCAAAAATACCAATTTCCAACTAAAAGAAAATCTGGGTATTAGATAAAAGTACCAGTTCCAAAGACCAACCTTGAAAGGGTCGGATTTTTTGTAAGAACAAGGACCAAAGTTGTCGATCCTCCATTGAGCTAATCTGGAGATAGTTTCCACCTTCGAATCACCCATTTTTGGATCTCCTGTTTTGTTCCTATTGTTTTTTCCTCGGTTTCTGTCTTTAAAAGAGCTGAGACCTATGTCGGTAGTTTGTTTCAGTAGTAGCGTAGCTGCAGAGGAAGAGAAGACGTTTCTTTGACGCCTTGCAAAGTTGACTACTCTCTGAACTGAGAAAAGAACGGTTTTTTTTTCGCGTACACTTGTCAACAAACAGAAAGCATATTATTTTTTTTCAAGTACCAAAAGGAAGATAGCATTTAAAAAGAATAGGGGTTGACTTTTATGAATCGTATGGCTTACTTAACCGCACTTAAGGGGCACTTCATCTCAATTTTAAAAAGTTTGTGGTCCAACTATGGATGAGGAGATTATGATTTACCGATGGATGAATAATTACTACAATTGAATACTCCAAATATCCCATCTAGTCAAACAAAATCATATGCGGCATTATGTTTGGCACTTGGCAGCTGCACGGACCAAATCGCTTCCACCAAAAACAAAGAGGGCATTATGGTAAATCGACCACTCACAACCTTCCTTGCCCGATCCCCGTCTTCCTATCCTCTTTAGAAAATAAAAAATAAAAAAACCAGTAAGAAAAAAATTCCGCAATCTGATCCAAGAATTATCCTATCTCCGCAACCAAACAAATACCAAAGGAAAGGATGTCCTCCAATTTCAGTGGCGATGAAACTGCTCCTTTCTTCGGCTTCCTGGGAGCCGCCGCTGCTCTCGTCTTCTCTTGTAATTTCTCCTTCACTTTCTCTCCAAATTATTTTTCTCATTTATTATGTCAATAATGTTAAGTTTTTATGAAATATTTTTTATTTGTATTTACCTTAGTTAAACTTTTTTAAAAAGCAGTTACTTGAGTGATTATTAATGTTATTGGAAGATATTAATAAATTTTCATTTTTTTAATTCCAATTTAAAAGTTTTAATGAATTCCTAGGGTAAGATGTCAGGAAATTAATAGGAATTATAAGAGATATTTTATTTGCTTAAGGCCAAAAATAGAATAAAAGATTCAGTGAATTTTGTTAGTCTTTTAGTTGATTTGCAGTTTTTTTTATAGGTATGGGGGCGGCGTATGGAACAGCGAAGAGTGGGGTGGGAGTGGCCTCAATGGGAGTGATGAGGCCAGAGCTTGTGATGAAATCTATAGTTCCAGTGGTTATGGCTGGGGTTTTGGGTATTTATGGATTGATTATAGCTGTTATTATTAGTACTGGAATCAACCCCAAAGCAAAATCTTATTATTTGTTTGATGGGTATGCACACTTGTCATCTGGCCTCGCTTGTGGCCTCGCTGGCCTTTCTGCTGGAATGGCCATAGGGATTGTCGGCGATGCTGGAGTCAGGTATTCTTTTCTTCCTGGTGCTGGTTTTGGGAATTGAATTTGATTTAATGCTTTAGTCAATGAAAATGTGAGTTGTATTTTTTTTTTCACTAGTTTGTATTTCCTAAAGTTTACATTCATTATGGAGATGTAGATTTTGAGTTTTGAATTGATGGAACTATTTTTTTTATAGAAAGTTGTTTTCTAATCTGTTGAAAGTGTAATTCTTACTTGCTAATGACGTCGGCAATGAATATGTTTTAAACTTGTTCTTGATGATGGTGTAAGATTGCAGCTGCTAACTTTGGTTTGTGGGTTCTTGCTGTCACCTTTAAAGTAGTATTTCTAGTCTTCTATGTTGTTTTGCCTTTTTTTTAATTGGATGCTAGTTTTCTTAATTGTTCCATAATGTTTCATTTAGCCCTTAAAACAGTTTGTTGGATTTGGACTAAGTAAAATTGTTTTAAAATGAACTTTACTCTGATCTTTTGAAGTTACAACAAAGTTTTTTTACTTGATTATGGACACCAGGGACTTCATTGCTGATTACCTTTATCCCTGTGAGATGAAACGAGGATTGGCTTGATTTCAGTTATGTGCTAAAGTGATGTGGTTAATTCCTAGATTTGACACATAATGTGCATGTTTGATTCTTCTGTCTCAAATTTGAGTTTCAAGTCTAGCTCGAAGAATATGTAAATGAGAAAGATATGCAGAGCTTTACAATTAAAAGTCCATTATCTAGCTGAGAACTATGGTTAGTTTAAAGTTCCAATGGAAAAAAATTGCTTTAGAAAGGATCACTTCCAATTGGCGGATAGATTTTTACTCTGGTTTGATTTATGAAGAATGTCAAGAGCTCATCTGTCGTTTCTGAATGGCGAAGGCAGTTTGTTAATGCAACTTTTCCCTTTTATCCCACCACTTTACTATTCTGTGATTGGGCCCTTTAGTCTTTAATACATCCTGGCTTTCAGATAATAGTTGTCTGCAGATGATCTTTTTGCTTAACTGCTTGTCTCTATCATTGCCATAGTCTTCTAATGCACTTTTTGGCTTCTTTTTATTTTATTAGGTATTGTATTGGTATATACTGTATTTCTTGCTGCGGTCTTTAAGATGCTTGCCCATTTTGTTTGAATTCAACTTTCAGTTGATTTGGACCACTCATTTGATTGTTAGATTGATTAGATTTTATTCCAGCCAATATACTTTGATCTAATTAGAATACTGTCAAACTACTTATTGTATACGTATGCTATTCAGTATACATTGATCTAATTCGAAGGCTACCAAACTGTTTACCATTTTCCTGTTTTACCCTTTGGCTATTGTTTTTAGGGCTAACGCACAACAGCCTAAGCTCTTTGTTGGTATGATTCTTATCCTCATTTTTGCGGAAGCACTTGCTCTCTATGGACTCATTGTGGGGATCATCCTTTCATCCCGAGCTGGTCAATCTCGCGCAGAATAAAGAACGCCAAACTCCAAAAAGCTGTTTTTTTTTTAATCTTATTTTATATTCTTTAAAGTTGGAAATGTATAATCAGAAGTTGAATTTAAATACATGAGATCCCCCCCACCCCGCCTTATAGTTCTATTGAGTTTGATGAACTCTCTGGATATGTTGTGTCTGATCAAGATTATGGAACTGAACTCTTTTCCAAACAGCATCTTGCTCCGCTGGATTACCTGGATGTATTATGAGGCTGAGCTATTATTTGTCTTCAAAGCCCTAGTTAGATGCTGTCAGTAGTGTGCTTTTGTCACTGCACTTTCTTAGATACTTGGATTTACGGGTTGAATTATTAGATTGATGTTCTTACCTTGTTCACTTGGTCGATAGCTCTTTAATCCATATTCCTTGGAACAATTGCTTAATGGCCAGGTCTACTTGCCAGTTGATGATACTGCGGGTTCCAGCTGCCAATGTCAAAATGCGGGCAGTTGGGATATTAATTACGACTTGATTTGACACATCATATCATTTCTTGTTTATCTTGCCTGCATCTATGTTTTCAGGGCTTTGAAAAATGAATTCTAAGCAATAATTTTTGTATTTTGAGATATTTGTTGGGTAAAAATTTGATTGATTAATAAAAAATAATTTATTGATTATAAAAAATGAGATACTGTTTTTTAAAATTGTTTTACCTTTTTTAAAAGAGAAAAATAATTTTTGAAAAAGAATTGTTTATAAGTAAAATTAGTTATTGATGTGTTTGAATATAATTTTATCAAACTTTGTATATGATTTTTAAGTTTAAATTTAATTTGATTTGATTTAAAATATTATTATATTAATAAATAATATTTTTATTTAATTTTATTTAAAAAATTAAAATATTAATATTGAAAGTTTTTTAATATTTTAATTTTAAATATTTTTATAATTATATTCAAGTAAGATTTTGAATATAATATTTTAAGTTTGAATTTAATTCCATTTGATTTAAAATATTATTATATTAATAAAAATATTTATTTAATTTTAATTAAAAATAAAAATTAGCATCAAAAGTCTTTCAATATTTTAATTTTAAATATCTTTAGTTTATATATTATTAAACATAATTATATGTAATATTTCAATAATAAAAAGTATTATATTATTATTTTAATAATAAATAATAACATATATAATGATATTTTTATTTTTAATAATTACTGTTAAATAGCATAATAATATTATTTTCTTAATATGAATATGTTTAATAATTTCTTATTATTTTTTAGTTTAAAATATATAATTTTATATTTATTTATTATGGTATTTATTTATTATTTTAATAATAAATATAAATAAAAAAAATTTTGTTATGATTTTAAAATAGTTACTTTCAATATAAAATATAAATATTTTAATAGTAGAAATATTTTAATAATAAATATTATTATTTTAATATTAATAAAAATAATATTTTAAGAATAGTAATACTATTTTAAATATTTTAAAACATTAATATAAAAATAAAATAATTTCATTTTAAATAGTTTATATTAATATAATATTTTAATATTAAATATTATTAAATATAATTATTTTTTAATATTAATAATTTTAGTAATAAATAATTTCAATATACTTTAATAACAAATCATTTTTAATATTTTAATAATTATATTAATATTATTTGAGAAAAAATTTCACAAACAACAAAATAACAAAAAATATTTTTCATTAACTCATCAAAATAAAAAAATTAAAAATTTTTACCTTTTTAAAAATATAAACACTTCATAAATAATATTTTCTTAAAATCAATTTTTACGAAACATACCAAGCCTAAATTGTTTGAAAAATAAAACCGCCATTGCCCGTACTTGTCGTCTTGATCAACTTCTTACCTTTGATTGTTGCAGATTCTATACTTTCAGCCAACTAATTATTTGATGTACTCTTTTGTTTTTACGAAAGAAGCTAAAGGTTGAAATAGAATATTTACATATAAAATTCAGTAAATACCATTTTTAAAAATAACGAACTAAATTTTAGATTCAATTTTATATGCACGCTGCGGATGGTACCTTCGAAGTAACATTTTGCGGCTTTGCAATAGCTTTTGCAAATGATAATGAAACCATGCAAGTTGGCTAACTCGAGTAATTTCCCCCGCCCCCTTCTTCATAACATTTAGCTGCTTTTCAGCATCAAAACAAAGCATTGAAGACTGCAACATAATAATCTGAATCTATCTTTTATAGCTTATAACTTCCCTTTCAATAACAAACATAACTTTGAGTATAAATTTAAATCACGGTACTCCGCAACAACATACGAGCTTATGTGCAATCACAAAAAATCACATTATGATATATTACATGGCATAACATGGATAAATGCCAGAAACAAACAAGAAGGCGCACCTAAATCCCTGCATTATGAATCTATGATCCATGGCATCAACTTAAGACATTACTATCTCATGAACACAGATGTATTCATGATATAAAGGAATACAATCAATGCCAACTGCTTGCTCAGAGGAAATATGATATTTACAGAAATGAACTCAGTTGCTGAAAGCCTTAACCGGGCACGTAATAATCCATCTTTTCCACTGGCAGATTTAAAACAGATGTTTCCACCTAAACGACAGAAGACAAAGGCCAGATGATTAGTTGTGAAAAACACAAATATAGTAGAGAGATGCTAGCCAATGCATACACACTGTCTTCCCAAACCTAAACACACTTTCTATTAGTGAAATTAGATGGAAAGCAAAGTCTTGCCACAAACTGTTAACTACTTAAGAAATGAGAATAAACATTTCGCAGATTCTGAAGAATTTCTCAGCAATAGTCTATTGGTTAATTAATCAAAAGATCACAAGGCAGAAATAAAATTACCTCTTCAAACGGGACAAAGACAAATGGTGTTAAACCCCTTTTATGGGACACTGCAGGCACATCTGGGTTGTGACTTTCATTGTCCTGCCACCCTTCAACAACTCCAAGGATGTCCTCTTCAGGACTGCTGGCTTCATTATCATTCACGCCGCTTGTAACAAGTGAAAGCAAATCCATTCGATTGTTAGCCCCTACTGTCGTTCCTCGTAATCTGTATATGCATATAGGTAAGTGAACTGGACAACACCGTTTATGGAGGGGAATTAAAGGAATTAAACAGAGGGAAGAATGTTGAGGAGATGGGAAAAGGGCTGTAAATAAAGATGCTCCAACAAGTAATTATCCATTAACCATGAGGTAAATCCCTAATCTAAAGCCAGCATCATCTAAAATGCCAGATATCTCAAAACATGTTTATAGTTTTATGGTATTTTGCTTGTTCATAATTGAGCATTAGGCATGCTAGGTTTAAATCAGATTGATTAATAAACAATAAATGCAAACAAAATGCAGTATGTGCCATCAAACCCCTCAGCTAAAAGTAGATAGTTAAATGCATTGAACAACTTTGTACTTAAAGCATGAATAAAGGTTTTATCTCCACGGCAAAAGTTAATTAGGAAGTCTCGTCCTGAGCTCATAATTGAAAGAAAAATAAACAAACAATAAACTTCCGTGCTTATTATATTACCTTAAACGAATTCTCAGCACAGTAGGACGCATGCCAGGGTACAAGACAGCAGCTTCAACCTGCGGGATAGAATGATCATAAATACCTTTGAGATGCATATCAAGCAACTGATACTAGGATGAAAGCAGGCAATGAATTGAACAGTTAATTTAATGGACATTCAATGGAACTTAAGTGCATTGACCCAGTCAAATATGACATTCTTAACGTTATTGTAAAGAAGAGAGCCTGACCTTGTCCTCTGACAAAGTGTAATGACCACCAAAAACACAGTCTGCTTTTGATGCACGGAAATTCATAAATTTTGCTGCATCCTTTATTTTTTGAGAAGAATTCTAATCACAAACAAATAGAAATATCAATTAGATTTGGAAACACACTATCATGTCCACAAGTGAACTACGTTATCCGTAAAATACAACCTTGTACAGAAATCTGCCAGAAGGAAAAAATCTCATGTACCGGAAGTAGCAGACCTGCAGGAGTATTCACGAAAAGACAAAAAGAAATCAGACTACATTCAGAATAAAGAGAAGAACAAGAAAAAGTTGTGGAATGAAGATGCAGATTAGCAGCATACTATGTGAACTGGATTTGTAATCTTCCACTCTGCAACTCCAGCCCGAACATAAGTATTCCTACTCACATAAAGACCTGCAATTTGAAAAGTGATACTAGTTTCACGAAACAATCTTTAGGAATCACAAATGTCCAGAACAAAAGAAAGCACTGGTAAGCACAGAAGAAAACCATGCTTGGGTTTATGCCACTCCATATGCAACATGAACATAACAACTTAAAAGTGGCATTTTTTTTTAATGTAAAGCAGAGTCAACATATTTGAGGCTAAAATCAGTATGCTGTTTATAAAAGTAATATATAGCAGGGTAGTTGACATTTTCCATGTCAGACATATCCTTTGTAACAGTATAAATGTCTGAGTAGGATGTCCAGAGTACCATACATCAAAAACTGCCTACAAGATACCTGTGGAAGAAAACTATGCTCTGATACAGGTGATGCTGCTGCTATCTTAATTCTAAAACTATGTTAAATCACTCAAACAGAAACACTCTCTCTATCGCTGTACAAATGTTGGAATGCTCAGAGAAAGAGAGAGAGAAAGTGTGTTTTGCGGGAAAACACTTAATTACAGCTGGCTGTAATCTGTATATATTTGTATTCCTAAAATTAAGTATTTGTATCCCTAGAATTAAAGACAGAAAATTGTGATAAACAATCCCTCAATTATAGGGATCAGCTTTAGGAAGATTTAGTTTCCCACTTTATCCTCTAGTTAGCTGTATATAAACCTAAGGTGTTTGGTTAATTCAATAGAAAAGTTTTTCAATATCCTTTCAAATTTTCCACATGGTATCAGAGCTTTAGGCTCTTTTTAGGAAGAATTTTTTTTTCAGCCTTCATTGCTGATTTCTTTTTCAAGCCTTAAAGGCCAAATACTATTAAGTCTTTCTTAGTCATTTTATTTTTTCCTTATTCGGCCTTCATTGCCAAGAATCATCTCCGATTAAATCTTCACTATCAAGACTCATGTAGTCCTGAGAAAGATAACTAAGTTAGAGATAGCAAAATCCGTCACTACTACCCGATTTGAGGAAGTGATAACTGGTCAAACCATAGAAGAACTACAAATATCCAAGCTGTGTACAGATTGAATGGAAACAACCACTTGAAGTGGTCTTAGTTGGTTCAAACCTTTCTGAAATGGGAAAGGAAAATTGAGCCATCTTCTTGGTACTGATCCTAAGAAAGGAAATCCAAAATTTGAAGCTTGGGATGATAAGGATTCCATGGCTATATCATGGCTATGGAATTCTATGACACCAGATATCAGTGACATATTTTTGTCCATGGCCAAAGATATTTGGGAATAAGTTCGGCAAACCTACTCCAAAGTTAGGAATGCTGCTCAAGTCTATGAGATAAAGATCAAGACTGCAGCTCTCAAACAACGGAATAAGTCAATCACAGAGTATGCTATTGTTCTGAAAAATCTTTGGCAAGAGATGGACCACTGCCAGTGTATAAAGATGAAGGTTAGTAAGATGCAGCAACTTTGAAGAAGTTTATTGAAAAAGATCAACTCTATGACTTTCTTGTTGGACTTAATGTTGAGTTTGATCAAGTCAAAGTCCAATTTTTGAGAAAAAAGGATCTGCCTTTTTTAAATGAAGTGATCTCCATGGTTAAAGCAGAAGAGAGCAAAAAAGGAGCGATGCTTGACAGCCTGCATGTAGAAGGACATGCCATGGTCTCTAATGGTGGGAATAAGCAAAGCTTGGAACAATTACTAGTCAGCGAGAAAGGGAAAGGTGATTTGGCTAAAACCTCAAGTCATGACAATCTTTGGTGCACCTAACGCAATAAGCGGAGGCACACCAAAGATCATTGTTGGAAACTAAATGGAAAACCTTCAACTTCAAGCAAAAAATAGGGTTATAAAGGAGGATAGCCAAGAAATCAAGAGCAAGTTCACATGACTCAACATAGTCAAACTAGGAGAAGTCTCGAGAACAAGGAGAGTTGGACAGAGAAGAGATTGAGAAATTGAGAAGCCTATTGGGAACCCTTGAAAAGTCTACTAGTGTACGTTCATTGGCACACTCAAGTAAAGTCTCTAGTTCTCATGGATTAAATGTCTCAAATAGGTCTATTACGAGTGCTTAGGTCATTGCCTCAAGAGCCACACCACATGACATTCTTTGTAGAAGTTTAATACATATACCTTGTGTCCTGTTAATAAGAAAATTGTTGTTGCAGATGGTTTGCTTACAACAGTGACAGGATTAGGAGATGTTCAAATTAATCCCTTATTTATTCTTAAAAATGTTTTTCATGTTCCCAAATTGTCTACTAATTTGATATCTATACAAAAACTTACTAGAGACATGAACTTCAATGTGACTTTTTATCCCTCCTATTGTGAATTTCAGGCCTAGAGTTCGGAGAAGCACATGCGAAGGAAAAGTATGGACTATACTATCTTGAGACATGAAACAACACAAGTAATACTAAGAATAGCATTCATTTGCCATTTCTTTTTGAAAAAGCTCCCAATAAAAACAAATTTTGGCTTTATTATTTTCGTCTTGGACATCATTTTTTTGGAACTTTGAAAATCATGTTTCCTTCTATTAAATGTCGAAAATTTTCATTGTGATATTTGTGAACTTGCAAAGCATAGACGTGTCTTTTTCAGTTAGCAATAAAAGAAGTTATACACCTTTTCACTTAATTCATAATGACATATGGGGCCCATCTATAATTCCTAATATTTCTAGTGTAAGGTGATTTGTTTCATTCATAGATGATTGTACCAAAGTCTCTTGAATTTTTTTACTTATCAGATATGAATAGTGCGTTTTTAAGCTTCTAAAACATGATCCAAAATCAATTTTGAGTGAAAATCAAGAGATTTAGGTCTAATAAAGCAAAAGACTATTCCAACCAGAGTTTATCTACCTATTTCCTAAAAGAGGGGATTATCCATGACTCATCCTGTGTTAATACCTACAGTAAAATTAAGTGGTAGAAAGGAAAAACAGTCATTTACTAGCCACAACTCAACCCTTAATTTTTTAAGCAAACGTACCCAAATCCTACTAGGGGAAAGTTGTTCTCAATGACACGCACATTATAAATAGGTTACTTTCAAGTGTTTTAGGATTTTAAACTCCTATGGAACTACTCTCACAATTCTATCTCAACTATAATACCATAAACAACTTCACACCTAGGATATTTAGTTATACATCATTTGTTCAAGTTCACAGTTTTAATAGGGGGAAGTTGGATACAAGAGTAGTTAGGTGTATTTTTGTGGGGTATTCATCAATTCAGAAATGGTATAAGTGCTAGCTATCATCCTCCTACTAAAAATTTTATGTGCTACATATGTCACTTTCGAAAAAAGGTAAACCATTTTTTACTCAACCTTATCTTTAAAGGAAGACTTCATTCATGGAAGATAAAGATAAAGACTTCTTTTTGCTTGACTTATCCTCTTCCTCAACATCTTCAACCATTAATTCTTCTAAGTCTAAACTTGTTTCTTCTTAGTCCAAGTCAAACACTGAATCTAAGTCGAAACCCATTCTAAACATAGAAGTTGTGACTAAGAATAATACTATTCTTCATTCTATGGAGGAATTATAGGTGTACTCAAGAAGGAAAGTTCTAGCTTCTAAGCTAGTGCAAGTCCAAAAACTGATCCTAACTTTAGAAACTAGGTAACTACAGTCTCTGATTCTATTTCTCAAAATGAGCATGACTCGCCTAAAACTAGAACTAGTGATTATGCTCTGCCTATTGCCATTAGAAAAGGAACCTGAAAATATAATAAGCATCCACTATACCCAATCTCTAATTTTGTGTCATTTGAAAAAGTCTTACCATCCCACAAAATTTCCTTGTGAGCCTAAACACTATTTCTATTCCAACTACATTATTGGAGGCATCATCCAGTGAGAAATGAAGGCAAGCCATGAAAATAGAAATGGAGAAAAAAATAAGACATGAAAACTAGTAGAGTTGCCTAAAGGAAAAAATCCAATTAGGTATAAATGGGTTTCCCCTATAAAATACAAGGCGGATGATACTGTCGAAAGGCATAAAGCCAAGTTGGCTAAGGGCTCCAATTGCCAAGATGAATAAAATTAAGATTTTATTATCCTTGGCTACAAATTACAATTGGCAGCTTCAACAATTTGATGTAAAGAATGCTTTTCTACATGGTGATTTGGAAGAAAAAATATATACGAAGGTCCCACCGGGATATGGAGGTCATCTAGAAGCAAATAAAGTATGCAAGTTGAAAAAAGCTTTATATGACCATAAATAGTCTCCTAGGGTCTGGTTCAGGAGATTTGTCAAAGCAATGCTAGCAATGGGATATAAGCTGAGTCAAGGAGATCACACACTGTTTATCCAGCACTTGAATTCAAGGAGAGTCTATGTTTTGTTAGTGTATATTGATGATATAACTGTAACTAAAGATGATGAAAAAGAGAAAATCTCTAAAATAGTGTTTGGCCAGAGAATTTGCGATAAAGGAGCTAGGGAGATTGTAATACTTCCTAGGAATTGAAGTGGCTCATTCACAACATGGTATTTTCATCTCACAATAAAAATATTTGATGGATCTTTTGAAGGAAACTAGGAAGCTCACATGTAAACTTGCAAATACCCCTATAGATCTTAATGATGAACTTGGAGAAACTAATGAAGATGTTGCTATAATAGAGAGATGTACCAAAGATTAGTTGGAAGACTGATTTATCTCTCACATACTCAAATTAATATAGCATATAATGTGAGTGTGATAAGTTAGTTTATACATAGTCCTAAAAAAGTGAACCTACAGGCTGTCTACCATGTACTACATTATTTAAAGCCAATTCTAGTAGAGGAACCTTGTTTAAAAGAAATTCAAGGTTGGTACTAAAAGCGTATACAGATGTTGATTATGCAAGTTCAATAACTGGAAGAAGATCCACCTCAGGCTACTGCACTTTCCTAGGTGGTAATCTTGTGACTTGGAAGAGTAAAGAATGTGGTGGCAAGATCAAGTGCTGACGCAAAGTTTAGAGCAATGGTTCAAAGAATTTGCAAACTACTATGGTTAAAGATTATCCTAGAAGACTTGAAAATCAAGTGGGATGGACCAATGAGACTTTACTGTGATAACAAGTCTGCAATAAGCATTTCAGTGTGTTTGATAACCTATATTAAAAATCACTTAATAGAATTTTTTTCAAAAAAAAAAAAGTAGAATTTGATGATTAGGAATTTTTCTTTATTCCAAGTATCTTTGTAGTTGTTTACTACAATGGTAATAGACTACCCAATCTTCTATAGTTTTTCCATAGTCAGATATTGGAACTGCATATAAATCTAAATAAGTATACCACCTTGAGCTACTGGTATTTTTTTAGAGATTTATAATAGGAGACAGTTGAGGTATAGGATCAATCTGAGGCAAAACAGAGAATTCTCCTTCAGTTTTTACCTTAATTTCTTCTCTATTTCTCATCTGGAAATCTAATTTGATCATCAATCTCTGGATTAGAGATCTCACCAACCTTTCTCTTGCCTTTATCAGGCAGAGAATCAATTAAAGAACTTGAATCTGTTTCCATTGGTTCTATGTTTTCATCTTCTAAGGATGTTTCTATTGGGTTAGTAACTAGAATTTTATCATCTGTTTCTTCTTCACCACTACTATCATCAATACTACTTTCATTCATGGTTTCATAATTTAACATATAATAACAGTTATATTTTTTAAAGAGCTCTATATGTGTTTTATATAACTCTTCTATCATGTTCAAATATTCTATCCATTCTTTCGGAATATCTGTTTTAGCCATTTTTGCTTTAAAATGTTCTACTATAAGTTTATAAGTTTTAAAATCTCCTATTTCTTGCCTCGAAGAAGAGGATTCAGCTACTTGTTTTTTTGTTTAAAGTTAATATTTCATTTCAATAATATAAAGGACCATAATTAATATCTTGTCTTTGTTTTTCAAAGTTTTCTAATTTGTGTGGTTGACTTCTAATAATATTTGTTTAGACTCATGGTTTAAGTCTAAACTAGTAACTTGTCCTATTTTCTATTTGACTTTCAATAATTTATCTAATATAACAAATAACTTTTTAAACAAAGTAGTACTAGCATCAATAAATCCATTAATACTATGACCAACAGCTATTAAGCTATTTTCATATCTAGGTTCTATATGTACACTATGATTATAAGTTTTTTCTTTATAATCACATTCATTTAATTCCTTTTTTCATTCATGGTACCTAAAACCTTCTATAAATTGTATTCTTCTCTTAACCTACATCACTTATCTGTGGCCCAACATAGAAATAGAGAAGGTAAACATATATATGGGTTTTTGAACCATCAAGCAAAATTAACAATGATTTAATATAAAGAACAGAAACTTGTGAATATATTACACCCAAAATTAAAAGCAATCAAGAAAGAGAGCACATCTTACCATCAGTTCGTACCCTAGGTCTTAAAAGCCACATTTTCCTCCATGAACCTTCATATTTTGACTGCAAAAGCTTATAATTCTCCAGCACTCCAGAGAGCTTCATAAAAGAGGCAGCAGTTCTTAAGCTTCAATATTTACACACAACAGCCTAATAAAAGGTTCGATATCAATTCCAAATTTACCTGCCAAGCCTTTAAGCATGCAATACGCCAAAACATAGGGTTACGAATTGTGTACCTCCACTTTCGACAAACACATGATGCCCTTCCTAAATCATATGGAGCCATCCGTACAAAGACCTGTACATTCATTTCCATCATTACTCTCTATTTTCATTGCCAAATATAAAAAATCTTCAATTTTTTTTCTTCTTGCATATTGCTCTTTGTTTAATGACAGAAGCGATTCATAGGTTGAAAACTGATATTTTGGCATTATAATTAGAATGCTCATAAAGTGTTCCCAAATTGTAAGCAATCAGACAATAACATCAAAAGAAATGTCGTTTATCAATCATCACAATCAAGTGATTCAAAATCAAATTTTCTGCATTAAACAACTCAAACACTAGCATTTTTTCTCTTTTCAACGTGGACAGAAAAACAATTAGAAGCATATACCAACACATAGAGGTGACAAAATAAACCCGAATCCAGAAAAACTCGCCCAAAAAAGAAGAATCCAAACCCTTTAGAAACCCGATTCGGTCATAAAAAAAAATAAAAAATCCAAATCTAAGAAAACCCAAAAACAATGAAATGACCTAAACCAAAAAAAAAAAAAAAAAAAAAAGAAACCAGACTTGACCAAGCTCAAAAAGGTTATTAAATTATTACATTTTTCATAAAATTTAAAAAATGACTTGACTAGCCAAACTCTGCTTAAAACCAAAAACCCAAAAATAGCCCGAATCTAAAACAACTCGAATCCAAAATGACCTAATCCAAACCAGTAAGATTGCCACCTTTATCAAAAACTAATGACCTAAGACCATCTTTAGTGAATAGCATGATGGCTAAGATAGGATAATAATCATCCTATACAATGTTTAGTTTATATCTAAAGAAAATTATAGGATTGCAAGGAAGATCAATTCTCCCCTTGGCATAGGATAATTCAATCCTCCTAAAGTGGAAAAGATTATTTTTAATCCATAGGATTAAACTTACATGTTCTATTATACCCTTAAAAATTACATCAATAATTTAAATTGTATAAACTTAAGGGGAAAGATAATTTTGACCAATTAATAAATTATCTTATCCTAATCCTTGCACACATCAAACACAAAATAAGATGATATTATTTAATCTAATCCTATTCATAATATCATCTTATTCAATCTTATCATAATTTTGCATACCAAATGCACCATCATAAGGTAATATTATCTTTGTCAAAAAATTAAAGCCCAATATTACATTGAAATACCTCAAAAAGCAGTTCATCCGGCAAGCAACGATGGATAAGTGCAGGATCAACATATGATCTTCTGCTGGCGCTTCCAAAAGGGGCAACTGGTCTAACATGTTTTCCATAAAGATCTGAAATTTATAAATCAGGTAAAATTAATAACTTACAAAGTGCTTTAAACTAGAAATTAAGCCAATAACATTAAAATTAGAAAAAGAAATATCAAAAAAGTATTATTTAAAAATGAAAACAAAGAAATAAAAAACATAAAAATACCAAGCCATGGCCTTTGCGTTACAAAGTACTGTAGGGTCTTCAACCGCAAAGCTGATTCTAGTTCCGCTGCTAAGGCAAAGTCTGTAAATTAGGCCACACTAATTAATTAATAATAATGAAATATACAATAAAAAAAAAAGGATAACGAGGACAAAACGCGATGGGACGAAACTAAAAAAAAAAAAGAATTAAAGTTTAAAACTTTCATTTATTGAAGTTTTTCTCCTGAATTCTGAAACTAAACAATTTGAAATTGATAGTTAATGAATTCGAAGAAAAACTTTATATAATCGCTGGAAGCAAAAGAAATGGTCGTATTGGAATTTAAAAATTAATGAATTTAATTGTATATACCTGAATTCATGGGAATCAAATCAACTTTGGGTTTTTATGAATCTCTTCTTTTCGCTCTCTCTATAATTCTCAAAGGAAAAAAAAATCTGCTCTGTTTCTTTTTTTTTTTTTTCCAAACCCCAAATTTTTGTTGGCTAAAAATAAAAACCTCGAATTTTCCAAATTGTAAGAAAAAAGATGCAATGGAAAAATGCTGACGTATTAGCTGAAGCGCCCAATCAGAATTAACGAACCTGGCCTAAGCAGGTGAATGAACTAGAGGTATCTACGGGTCGGGTGGATTAGCCCAGTATAGTAAAACCCATAGCCACTCACACTGCATTTTGATCGGGCTTAAATAGCTGTTTTCTGAGAGAAAAAAACAATGACGTGGGTTTACGTGCCTGTTGAATTTTTGGGCTGAACACATTTTAAACATTGTAAGACAGCCCTAACTGTTTGTGAATTAGATTGTGTAAAACAATTAAATTTTTTTTTTTTAAATATAACTAGAATTTGACACGTTTATTGTGAGGGTTTTTTTTTTTCATTTTTCTTTAGAAAATAAGTTATGTAGGTAGTCTTTTTATGCACAGAAGGGAATAATTTTTGTAATTTTTTTGATAATTTATTTGATATATTGGTAGTGAAAATTTTTAATCTCACTTATTAAGAAATGGATACATATCTCATTATGTTAATTAGTTTTTTATTTTTTTAATATATCTTAAAGTGGCATTTGGTTCCTGAGAAGTAATTTTTTCTTTAGAATCTTATCTTTTGTAATTTAATTTCTTATTTTGACTCACGATAACTAAGATTTTTCAAGATTTCTAATAATGTCAAAAAATTAAAAAAAAAAAAAAAAACTCTTATCTACTTAAGGTTTTTAATATTTCGAAAGGAAAGTGAAAATTTTTTCCCATTATTTGTTATCACTTAATTGTATTTTTAGATTATATAAATAATGTTATTTACCTTAAAATATAGTAATTTTTTATAAAATATTATGAAAATAATTTTTTTCTTAATATTTTTAAACAAATATCATGTTTTTAACATAGTGTTATTGAAATTTTTATAAAAGTTATGATTAAAAATACAATTTTTGTTAAAAATATGAAAACAATTATTTTTCAAAATTAAAAAGTGACATTTTAAGATAAAACTGTAATTTTTTTGAAAATATGACGTTTCCAAAATAATAACATAATCTTTTATTGAAAACATAAAAAAAATTATAAAATTTAATACAGACGACGTTTCTAATATAAAAAATGTAACCTTTTATTGAAAATATGAAAAAAAAAATTAAAATTCAACAAAAATGATATTTCTAATATAGAAAATGCATTTTTTGTTAGAAAAAAAAGATTTTTTAAGATAAAAATGTAATTTTTGTTGAAATATAAAAAAATATATTTTATAGAATTCAATAAAAAATATATGTATAAAAACATAATTTCGTTGAAAATATGACTTTTCTAAGATAAAAAGCGTAGTTGTGTTGAAAACGTGAAAAAAAAAAATGTAAAATATTTTTACTTAATATTATTACATAAAAAATACATTAGAATAATAATCAAAATTGTAAGATTATTTTTGTTGAAAAATATAAAAAAATTATTTTTCAAAATCATTTAGCTTGAAATAAGACAACATGTTATTTATATGTTAGTAATACAAATGTCATGTGTTATTCACATACTATCAAAGATAATATAATAAAAAATTTTATTAAGTAATCCTAAATTTTTGTATTGTAAACCAAATACAGAAACCTTATATTTATATATTAACAAAATCTATGAAGTATACATTTCCCTTCAAATATCACTTCCTTAACTCACTTTCTCCTTCAAAATTTAAGAATCAGCAAATTAAATATTTTTGAAAAAATATGTATTTTCTTACTAATTTATTGAGTCTAAAAATCTCATTATTAATATATTTGATAATTTTATATTTTTAAATAAAAAATACGTTTTAAGATAATATTGTAAACAATTCTTTAAATAAATTGATGATACTTAAATCGTTTTATCAAATTGAAAAACTTCAATAATAGTACATAACATCTTTTCAATGATCCTTATAAATAAATACAATAATTTTTCTAAGGATCCAAGTTTACGCTTCCACCCACCTATCATCACAGACATGTACAATATTTAGTGTGATTAAATATTATATTATCAATATATTTTTATAGTTTAAATTTTAACTATGTTTATTAATTATAAGCGATAAGTTAAAGGGATTTGTCAACTATTGATGTGTATTTTAAAAATTAAATAGTGATTTCTTGATTGCTTATATTGAAAAAAATTTTGTTATGAGAGTTAAACTTCGATGAAATGAATTAATTTTTTAAAAATAATATATTTAAAATTTTTCTGTTATTATGGATATATTACATATAAATGTTCATATTCTTAGTTAATGATACATCTTGGTTGTCTTGCAGTCACTTCTTCCTCAGGTGCAGGTTCTTAATTCTCAATGTTTTTGCCTCCGTCTGTTCGTATTCAAAAGGTTAGTTTTTTTAGTTACGACAAGTGTTAATACTAGCTACGCGTGGGTTAATTAAATTGTTTTATTATTTTATTTAATAAAATTTTTTATCATTTGGATTACATTTAAAAATATTTTTTTACTTAGAATTTTTTTAAAGACTTAATTATTCATGATTTTTAAAATTGCTATTATTATATTTATTATTTTTTAAGGATCTAAATTTTAATTCAAATTTTAATTTATTATTTTTATAAATTTCTCTCTTTTATCTTATTATTGTTTATAAATAAATGTTAATTATCATTATTAAATTTTTATTTAAAATTTTTCCTCATTTCAGTCAAACTTAGAAAAACTTTTCATATAAAAATTTTTTTAAAAAATTAATCATTTATGATTTCTATGAATTTTATTTTTTTGTTATATTTTTATTTATTTTCAAAATTTATCATCTTTGAAATAGTTTTTATTTTTCTCAAAATTTTAATACATTTTATTTTTTGCTCAAAAATTAATGTCAATTATCATTACTAATTTTTTTTCTAAAATTTTCCATAATTTGGGTAAAATTTTAAAAAATATCTCATATAAAATTGTTTTATAAAATCAATTATACATGATTATTAAAAATTTCATCATTGAAATATTTTTTATTTATTTTCAAATTTTTAATACATTTTTTTCAAATTTAAAAATTATTATTTTTTGACTAATCAAAATCTACCCTAATTTTTAAATTTAAATAAATAACAAATTAATAAATAAATAAATAAAATAAAATAAAACAAACAAACAAACAAATAAATAAAATTGATGAATAAGGGTAAAGTGATAATTTACCAATATTAAATAAGTGTCACATGAAAAATCCTTAAGGGATTCCTTTAATCTAATGTAGTATATATAATTTATGTAATAGTTTCAACGCATTGAAAAGAAACATTAACAATTTTTTAATATGATAATTTTAATAAGTACCCTGGAGCATTCCTTAACAAACCCATAAGTTAAAACATGCGCTTCACATATTATTGAATTTTTTATGTTATACTAATTTGTTTAATTTAAGTGAATCAAACATAAATTAATTATAAATATTTTATTATTTAAATAAAATAATTTCAAATAAATAAATAAATTTTTTTATCGAATACAAAATAAACTTAAACACTTCTAAAAATAAAAGAATAAATTACAAAAATATTTCATTTCCTTTATTCGATTTGCTTGCACCTTACCTTGAAGGTTAAACTCTTTCCTCTTCTTATAATTTTTTCAACATAAATGCCAAACAAAGAAGTTTTAGCTGAAGTAGAAAAAAAATTTTTTAAAAATGATCATGACTTAATTAACCCCAAACTTAATAAAAAATCAAATTTAATCTCGATAATATCTCACTACCAAAATTACCCCTCAAATTAACATTAATACCCGATCGTATCTGGCCGAAAATTGAGCTGACCTGGAAAGTTTTTTGAAATTGAGCTGGAAAGTTTCTTGAGACAGCTTCAATATGTGTAGTGATAGTCAGCAGCTAAGCGCCAAAAGTGATTGCATATATGTTGTTTTCATCTTGTATTAAAACTTTAATGTTGCTTTTGTTGTGATTCTAGGTCATCCATTCTGCCCAAAGGTAACCCTAATTGGTGTCCATACAAGTAAAGTAATAAAATTATACCCTCCCTTTGTGGAAAAAATATAAAGAAATAGATGATACTATAAGTATGTATCACACTAAGAGTTAATGTTAATCACATTTGTTTAATTTGACATTGCTTGACAATTTATAACCCACTAATTAATAATTATCTCCTCCTAATTGTTTCTCTTTTAATACAAAAGAAATTTATACTTCTTAAATCTCCTAATTAATAATATCTCCTGTTATTCTTGACCTAACAAGATAGACCACATCATCTCCTCTCTAAAATATTTAATAAGCTCAAAGATTACGAGGACAGGAGCTGACTCTGGTGTCTGGTGTATCCACTTGTAAAAGAAAAAAGTTACACACTTAGTCAGCAAATATATACATACATATATATATATATATATATATGTATATCTAATACGGAGTGAGGATGCATGGGATCATGAGTGTGGGATCCGTCAAATCTAATTTGGCTCATACAAAAGGTTTGTCTAAGGTGGTGTTTCAAAGATGGGGATTGAAAAGGACACAAGTCCCCCCCGGTACAGCACATATATAATGCTCGAGTAAGTTTAAGCTTGAGCGCCCAATCATCACAGGAAGTTGGATCAAGTGAGGCTCTAGTGCAACTTGATCGATTGCTCCAAAGCTCGTCTGAAAGAGAGATGCAGAACAACCAATCATCAAGCATTAATCTTGCCTCTGAAAGGTTAGAAACATAGATGTTTAGAGGTTTATAATAATCTGTACGGATATTCCTCTTTATTATCAATTGATTTTTACTATATACATGTAGAGAATACGTAATGGATCACTCTACCTTTACCATAATCCAAGCTGCCATCGGCTCTCTCATATTCATGCTGCTCTCCACCCTCCAAGTTATGTATCAAAACGACGACAACTCTCCCTTTAAAACCCACAGTCTGATAATGAAGATTTTCATCGTCTCTGCATTCACCTACACTTCAGTTGCAGTGGTCGTCATAATCCTACAATCTCGTTGCACGAGCTATAGCTACCTCCCTGTACTGAACCATTTGGGTCTCGTTTTGGGAGTTTTCGCTTGTGATTTCCTTCTCTTGA